TTATTTAGGCCTATCTATGGCCTTCAAAAAGTTGACGACTCTACATGTTTCGACGTTACAGTACTCCCCATGAGCACTAGCATTTGAACAAAACTCATTCTTGACAAGGCAAAAGAAATGTCCTGGAAGTGATGATGGAAAGGGAAGGTAGTTCAGAAAGGCGAGTATCTATATAAAAAACATTTTCAGGTAAGGAAAATACTAACTTCAGAAAGGTTACCTCTTTGCACAGCAAAGATCTAGAATCCTACACTGAAAATGATGAAGGGACCAGTACAGGGAAAGAAATTACAAAGGTGAGCTTCTTTCTGAAAACAGTATAAGATAGGGAAGTCCCATGAAATGTTACACCCGCAAGGCAGGGAGTAGCCTAGTGGGTCAAATTCTGTAAAAGACTGCATCCAACTCAAGCAGGTAATAGTATTTGCCCAATGTTATTGTAGTATTCACTGTTAAGAGAGGAGGTAGAGCAAAAGTCACAAGAATCTTTTATGTGGTGCTGAAAAGGGCAGAATGTAAAATTGCTCAACCACCCATTATCTCACAGGTAGGCTGCTGAGCATAAGTTTGTAATGTGGCTAGGACTGTACGTCAGGTTATTTCATATAGAGAAAATATGTGAGATATCACAACAATCAGGTGAAAGGCAGAAGCAGCCCAGATATTCGTCCCAAGGCAAGCTCAAGACCCATCCATTAAGAGCAAACCACTAGGAGTAGCTTGGTTCACAACGTAGTGAGATGTTTTGTACTACAGTACTAGGTTACACCTCAGCCTTACTTCTCAAACAAGGGAGTGCTTCCACTTTGTCTTGTACCAGTGGAATAGCAATGCCCAATGAGAAATTCCGTATCAACTTTCCCAACTACTTGGGACTGGGAAAGCAAGTTTTCTCATACTTCTCTAGAAGAAACTGGGAGATGGAATTTGCATGGGGGAGAATACTAAATGGATACATGGACCTTATCATCAGGAACAATAATGTGGAATACATTGAGAGGGAAAGTGCAGTAGGTTACTATGACTAAAGAGAGCAGGGGCGAGTCAGGTATGAGGGTACACACACACACACTAAACTAATCCTAACATGTTTTTTCTTCTTACAAACAAGTAGAGTTTGACCTAGAAGATAAAATCTAGAGACACTGCCAAAGCAGTCTTGAAGTGAACCCATCTTAACAGAGTGCAATGAGCATGGGATGGATGGGCTTAACACTTTTCATATTTACTTCCCCAGTCAATGTAAATTTTTGGTAAAAAGGTATTCCCTGTGAGGTAATACTGGTCACATGACGGGTTCCATTGTCTCCTGGTAAGTGCAGAGAAAAGTTACTGAAGAAGGAAGAAACCCAAAGTAGGTGAATTTACCCTATGGTGTAAGTATTATAAGACTAATGTGTTGGAGTTGTCCACATATAGGGGATGACAACATCAGGAGACAAGAGAAGCCATGAGTTGGAAATTAGGAATAAATATTTCTGAAGCACAGAAAAGGATGTTGAACCACACCAGACACAGTGCTAGAAGGCTCACAATAGATGTAGGATGGAGTAAGGTGTGGGACAAGTAATACTCAAGGTTGTGTGGGATCAAGTGAACTACCAAGAATGCAAGAGGAGGAAAAGAAGACAATGGATCCTAGATATAACTGCACTGACAGATCATAAACTACTGAAGTTAACATATGAGCACATACAAGAGGAACAAAATACTCAAGAAAAGAGGGAGAATCTAAATGAGACAAGTTCTCTCATGCAAAAAATGAAAGAGACATGAGAACTTTATATTAAAAGCTCCATGTCTCAAAGGCATAAAGAAGTACCCTCAGCCTGCCATGCATACAAAGTGAAAAAGAACCCTAAGTGAATGAGACAAAGAATGGGTGTTGAAACTGAATTAAAGAAGAGAACTAGAGACCTCCAACGTGATGATTTGTGACCACTAAGCAAAAGCCCATCAGCTCAAAAGAAACAAAAGATGCCAGATGCAACTGAAAAGGAAAGGCTGAGAACTGAATATTCACCCACTGTGAATGAACTGAAAGACAAGTGGACAGATCAAGATGAGAAACAGATATAGGATACTTCAAACTGGATCATCTACCATGGAAATAGTATCCACCCCAGAGTAAGAAAAACCAAGTTGGCTCAAATGAGACAGATTAACGACTGACCAACAACCACCCATCTTCATGGGAATGACAAAAGATGGAAGGTAAAATCACAAAGTGTGGAAGAGGAACTGTCCCACAGATTTCAAAATACGTGAGTTGGAAAGTAGAAGTACAGGAAAAAATACCACTAAGAATGCACCTGAGGAACTCAATAGGCTGTAGCAAAGGGAGTTCACTGGTGTACAAAGTAGGAGAGCAGAGCTTCCAAAGGACCAAAGCCAGGGTGTGGCATCAGAAAAATCGACTCCAAGAACCATGATGGCTAACCCTCAAAACCAGGGAACCTTTAATAATAATAAGAGGACAAGGAACATAAGAAGAAGTTGTCCCATGAGGCCCCATGTGATGAGAAACCTCTAGTGTCCATAGGATCCCAAAGACAGAAATCCAAAATGAGTAGAGATAACTACTGATGAGTGGCATTAGCTTAAGATTCCAAAGTAAAAGAAATACCCCCCAACGAAGTTATCACAAAAGAGAATACAAGACAGAGGGCTTGGAGAGAGATAATAGAGGAAGGTAAATGTTAGAAAGCAAGACAGCATGATAAATACAAAACAGAAACAAAGAAACCATCTGGTTCAAAATTGAAAAAAAAATCTAGGGCAAGGTTGATAATATGTATATGCAAGTTGTCCCAGTAAAGCTGACAGGATGGTGATGTAAAGCATGTAAAAGAAGGGCAAGTTGAATGAATAAAGTTGAGTAAAGAGAGGAAGATGAATAGATGGAGAAAAAAAGGGAGATCCCTAAACTGAAAGAAGAGATTCAAGTAAGGGAGGCCAAGAAACAGCAAAAAGTATTTGTACAAAACAAAAGACACACCCATGAAATCTAAGAAGTGAAAAATACAGATGGAAATACCCGATACATGAAGGGAAGAGGGAACTAGAAACAAAAGCACTTGTGGAGGCAACAGTGGTGAAACACCGTGATAGATGAGGCAGGTTCATCTCAGAGATGAAAGTGTCCCTTTCCTAAAAATCCTGAAAATAATCGAAGCCAAGTAGGGGGGGGGGCACCCAAAATCCTGCATTTTGATGCATTTTAGTACTTAAAATTCACTTAAACA